GTTGCTAGTGCTCCTCTGTCTCAGGGCGAGAACCTTTCCAGCAACTACCTTGCTGCTGGTCTTTGTCCGTCTTGCCTCCCTCACCCCCACTTGAAGTAACACTTGTCTCAGTCATAGAGAAATGATTAGGTAGTTATCGAGTAGTATGGCAAGTTGCCATAGGCAACGCTAGACTATATCACATAGAAGCTAAGCAGACCTTAGGATATCGATCAATAGGGCCAGCGCTGGTAACACTGGCACAAGGGGACAGAGAGAGATGGATAGATGTGTCGACTATTCACGAGATATCATGTGCAACCTGTTCGTTCGTGCAGGTCATCTCCAAATCCCTGGAGTTGCCCCTCGTTACAAAATGGTCCCGTCCAAAAATCCTGCGCCGTGTTAAACCTCTCCTTATTTTCAGGAGCACTCCTATCATGAGAGTCCCGTGATCAAGCTTCACATGTGAAATCAAATCCTGGGGGTGCTCTTGAAGCTCAGGTGATCTCCGATGAACATCCCGTTGACACCGAGCATTTCGGAAACGGCGGGAATGGAAATTTCCGTGCAGATTTAACACGCGCGCGCTAAAAAAATCCCCGGCACTCTGCAGGGAAGCGACTTATATACGCTGCTGGTATGGACGGAACCACAGCATTGTGTTCGCAGCTCATAGATCTACGCTATGATCTTATTGCTTCACGCGCGTCAACAGCGCATGATAGGACGTGGTTATGTGACATAACCACGTCCTAGCATGACGTTCACGCATCAGGACATACCTTATGTCCAGATCCCGAGCTCTGTCGCATCTAGGAATTAGCGATCGAAACGGATCGATAGATCCGAGACGGCTGATCGACTGATGGTCATGACAGATATTTGGTTTGGTTTTGTTGGTCCTTGGGAGCCCGGTGGCGTGGTGGTATATGAACAATCAAGATAGACCTAGAGGCAGTGTGCACACATGAGTCCGTGTCGCGGTGTAGCAGTTTGGCTCAAGTTCGTTTCGTTCTAATCTCCACTTCCCTCGTATGACGCTATTAAGTGAGTTGCAATACTGGACTGGATAACGAGACAGTTAAGAGAATGATTTTCAACGTTGTGGCTCTGTGGTGAGTGGAGTACGCCATGCAACGCATGTATTCGTTTCACCGTGAAATTTTCATTGGGGCGAACGAGAGGTATACAGGATATAAAGAGTGCAACAATCATTATAGTGGAGAAAAATGATGAACTTTTTAATCGTTGAGAGAATCTAAAAATACATGAGGGATAAAAGCTGTCGTCACTTTGTGCAATTACGAGTTGTTCTTGATGTGAGACTCAGAGAGAGAGTAACTAGAGGGGAGAGTAGACTAGAAGTGATAAAGAGTGGTCCATAATGGACCGTCCATTGCGTGGAACGTAGATCACCTGGTAGGACCTACATGGCTGGCATCGTTGGTGCTATCAGAAATAACAAGATCGGTATGGCGGGTATTCTGGACAGTGTGCGCATACTGCCCATATTCGATGGTAAAGATTTGACTTATTCCGCAATCGAGGATGCTTTCACCTACCTGATCGATAAGAGGAAAGGTGATGTGAGAGTTATTCTCATGACGGAAGGGTCCGATTCAAGTAGTTCCCAAGCCGTTACCGACAAGATTCTGGAAGCAACTGCAGCTGGCATGCTCGTTGTCGTCACGGCAGGGAATTAATACCTGGATCTGGGCAAAGCCCCATACCTCCCTTGTTCCTTCGGCCGTTCACCCACTGATGGAGTGTTATGTGTGGCTGCAACGTATAGATTAAATATGCAGCTCATGAGTGAATGCAATTTCGGTTTAGCTGTTGACATCGCCGCTCCAGGTTACAATATAGTTACAACTTTTCTCGAAGGGGTGTATGGCATCACGTCGGAGACTTCAAGTTCCGCCGCTATCGTAACAGGTACAGCTAGGAAATTCCTAGTAGGAATAGCTATAGCTAGGCTAGGCTAGGTATTTTTCGCTTAGGTTTATGAAACACCGGCATTTGAGACAACATCATAACTGCAAGAGTATCGCCATCGAATATTGGCATGTATATTTTCCTATCAATGCCAACTGCTGTTTTTGGTTTTTAGGACAAGGAGGAGGAGGAACAGAACACCTGAAGATGAGTGCATATTCTTACGCACTCTGGTGAAGGAAGCATTGTTGCAGCAGTAACAGCAAGACTCGTCTGAGTCCCGAATACAACCTCTCGCGATCCTTAGTCAACCCCAACCCAGTATCACCCTGGTGTATCCGGTAACTAGCACCCCACCTATTCGGAGTTCGCAAGACTCGACTGAGTCCTGAACACAACCTCTCGGGGTCCTTAGTCAACCCCAACAACAAGGACAAGTGATCCTGAGTGTGACGCCGACAGTCGGAGGTCTACGAGAAGTTTGGAGTGCGGGAGGAAAGGGTAATAGGGGACAGACACGCGAAGAGACGAACAGGAGAAAGAAGTGGCGCGCCGGGGAAAAAAGTGGCGCGCAGAAGAAAAGTGGCCAGAGTAAGAAAAAAGTGGTGGTGTGCGCGGAGCAATCCGAAAGAGTGTTGTTTTGACTCTAAAAATGTATTTGTCCCAGAAGTGGTTTGGTCCGGAAATGGGGATACCTCCCTAACGATCACGAGGAAGGCCAACTGTTCTGGAAAAAGTTTTATGCCGCGCGTGAAGAATTTTCCGTGGCGCGAACAAATCTGCGTGAGTCAAAGGAGATAGTTCATGTGTACACTTCGACACGCCGAAGCACAACGAATTGCTTATCTTAGTGGCTTACAATGAAGCTCGTCGTAACATCATTCTGGATCTTCCCGTGCGACCTCCTCTACGTTGAAGCAGAAGTGGGCGACAATGGTCATTTCCGTGTGCTCGGTCCTGTGAACGGCAATCCCAACGACGAATTCTATCCCTGGCAGAAGGATTATCTTGAGGCCATCTCTATACCGGAGGCTTGGGGTATCCTGGACTCTACTGCCAAAAGAACACCTGTGACCATCGCAATTATTGACGAAGGGATCGAGGCCACTCACCCTGACTTGAAGGGTACCGTCATCAAGGGCTACAACGTCGTTGATAAGAATGATGATACCAGACCTCGAGGACCGCATGGAACTTACATGGCTGGCATCGTTGGTGCTATCAGAAATAACAAGATCGGTATAGCGGGTGTTCTGGACAGTGTGCGCATACTGCCCATATTCGACGGTGAAGTTTCGACTTATTCCGCAATCGAAGATGCTTTCACCTACCTGATCAATAAGAGGGAAGGTGATGTGAGAGTTATTCTCATGACGGCAGGGTCCGATTCAACTAGTTCCCAAGCCGTTACCGAAAAGATTCGGGAAGCAACTGCAGCTGGTATGCTCGTTGTCATCACGGCAGGGAATGAGCACCTGGATCTGGACAAAGCCCCATACTTCCCTTGCTCCTTCAGCCGTTCACCCACTGATGGAGTGTTATGTGTGGCTGCAACGTATGGTTCCAATATGCAGCTTGAAGATAAAAGCAATTTCGGTTCAGCTGTTGACATCGCCGCTCCAGGTTACGATATAGCTACAACTTTTCTCGAAGGGGTGTATGGCACTACGTCGGGCACTTCGGGTGCCGCCGCTATCGTAGCAGGTATAGCTGGGATGCTCTACAGCCTTGAACCTTCTCTGGAGGTTAAGCTGACCCCTGCTTACATCAAAAGTATCATCAAGGACACGGCCACTGGAGGTATCAAGGGCAGCAAAGGGAAAAAGACTATGTCATTCGGCCGCGTGAATGCTGCGGCGGCTGTCAATAAGATACTTGGAAAAAAGAAGGTTTAACTTTTCACTCTGACTTCGTCTCATGATGATCCGAGTCGATGCTGACTTGTGAAGGTCTAATCATCAGACCTGATCATCGTAACGCTGGGGATTTGATTAAGATGATTCTTTACGCCCAACTGTTGAGTTTGGAATTCGCGTCTTGAATTTGTGTCTTACTTCAGTGGGCAAGTATTGATTGGCTCGGTGTTCCAATTATGAATCGTGCTGGGAGATGCTGGTGCATCATCATCGATCGCTGTGCCAATCTCACGTAGCTCACAATATTTCTCTCTCGGGTGAAGGAATCCCTTAGCTGAGCTCATGGTGAATATTTTCCACATCGGATAACTTCAATCAAGCCTTACAAGGTTCTGCCTTCTTATAATAACAATGTTATGAAACCAGTGCGGAGTCATTCCGATCGAAAAGCTACTAACAATTTCCTCATTCAACAATTCTCCCATTCCATCATTGTATTTTCGGATTGTATAAACAACCATTCACGATAGTAAACAGCATATAAAATATCCAAACAATTATTGATGAAGCGTTCGTGTTCATCTTACAAGCTTCCTAGTTATTGTCCATGTTATGCGCCACTCCGCATTTTGTGCTAGCAACTAAATATCACGTAGTTGTCATAGCATAATCGACAAGAACGTCACCGCGTCAGTAGCAGCAGTACACAGCCATGCATCATCCACACGTTTTTCTGATCGCAGTTCTCCACCAACCAGCGAACAACGGTCAGAATGTAATGCCACACATCGAGCAAAACATCTAGCTTGCCAACGTCTTGGTATGGTCTCGGGGAGCCGATCTTAGGAAACACCCAGTGATGGGAGAACTGCTCAAAATAGTCTTACGACGTAATAACAGCATTTCTCACATCCGCATGACTCGCTGGGAAGTCTTAATCCATGAGGATCCTTCATCTCGACTAATCCGCAGTGCGGATTCCGCACTTCGGGACTGCACTGATCGACATCTTTACTCGACTCACCGCTGTCTACACGGAGAAACCATTGCATCTATCTAATATCGATTCTTCTCACCACCTTGAATGCTTGTTATCTAATCACCACATAAGACTAGCTTACCGCACGGATTGTGCTGGACGACAGCCATTCCTCCTCGGGGACCGAAGTCTCCGTCTAGCGTTATAGTTATTCCGTCTAGTGTACTAGAGCCTGTCAGGCCTACCTCTTCCCACGGCACTCCGCCATCGTCTGACCTCCACACGTCAGAAAGCAAACCCGTCATAGTAGTGCCACCGACCTTGGCCATCGACTGGTCGCCTCCCGTACCAGGCCGCCTAGTACGCCTGGTCCAGGCAGACTCTCAGCAATACACATTGGAAGGGAACTCACCGTTGATGGTGGTGAGTCCCATGGCCCATCGGGGTTCCCATGGGGTGAACACAGACAGGCTTTGCCAACTTCCACCGGAGTCGTCAGAGCACCAAGCGTCATTGAGGTGGATGTTGTTCATACCAAGCCCTATCCGAACAACAATTCTGAAACACTATGAGCCTGTATTGCATACGGCGTAGTAACTACTCACCTACTACCGTGCAGAATAGCACAAGGCAAAATCACAGCGCGGCAGGAATGATCAGTTCGGATCGACAGGGATGACTTCCGTCCACGTGCGACCGCCGTCGGTCGGCCGCCAAACGTCGTTCTTGAAGTTGAAGTTGCGATTCCAACCACCTATAAAAGGCTTCAACCAACGACTTTCAGAAGGTGAACTCACCAAGAAGGACCAACGCCTTGTCGTCTCGGAGGGGGACCATGCAATGCCCCATCCTCGGAGACCATTCGGCAGATATTAATCGACGTTTCCATGAACGACCGCTATCAAAACTGCAACAGTGTTGCAGGGAACGCAAAATCGAAACACCTGCAGGCACCATTCAGACGATACAGAGGGCTGCTAGAACCTACACATCGCCCATTGACCGATGATTGATTGAACCTTGAAGGTTCAACCTTCCCAGCCCTGAGGAACGCGATACGGAGGGGAGAGTAGAGATTGGAACAAAACTAACTTGACCAAGGTCATCTTGGCAAGGTGGCTACGGCTCAACACGGGCTTGATGTGTGTACACTATCACTAACTCATTATTAATTGCTTATATGATATATAATGGCGTCTAATGGGTATATAATATATACCACGCTACAGGAGTCCCATAGATCATTCAAACCAAACCAAATATCTGTCATCACCACCGCCGATGGTCCACCGGTTGACCAACCGTTTCTGATCCAATGGGCGGTCGCTAATTTCCAGATCCGGCCGAGCTCGGGATCTGGGGCCCATTTCACAAGCCTCGGTTAGGCACGAAAACCGTAAGGCGATTTTTGCACCTAAAGAGGTTTAACCTCTTTAGGATAACTTAGGCTCTTTTACAAAGGCTGCAAATCGGGGCCTAAGGGTAAGGCGAAGGACCTCAAGGTGCCGGGCACCTGGTGCCCTACCTTATAGGCCCTGTGCCTATCAGATGCAACTTCATCATGACCTTGCATCATGCAAGGTCCTGTGCACAACGGCGGTGATCGCTGACCACAGGGGTAGGTAGGTTCCCAGTTAGTGTAGGTAAACGTTGTGCGTAGTGACTGGGATCACTTTCAACTCTCCCTGAAACCCTAGAACGAACAAGCACGTTCCTTAATCTTCACAATCTTCCCAAAGGGGCTCCGTTGACCCGAATGATCAACGACTCCATTCGAACTCTCGCCACTACGAGTCAATACCATCGAGACTAGTGAACACAATGCCTAACTCGTATACAATACCGTAAACTAATCCCTGACTAAGATACGGTTCAGACGAAGCTTAGCCACTAGCGAATAATATACCTCAAATCACAGTAAATCACTCTGAGCCTGGGCTCAGGTCCAACGTAAGCAAACGAACGTCGTTTACGAACGCTTACAAACGCCTAACCCTAGGGTTCACGCACCCCTGGGAACAGCACGCATGCACAAATCTGTGACGCGAATCACCGAGGCTAGCACAATAGACAGCAAACAGCAAATACCGTAACAAAAGTACAGTAAATACCGTAAGACAAGGGGACAAATCAACCATAAGGGTTGACAGGTCTCCGTGCCCTGCGCCGAAGCGCACAATGTGCGCTTCGGCGCCACATTGTGCGCCGAAGCGC